CACTTTAACGTATTTTTAAAAATTATTGCCACAAAGCTGCTTAAGAAGGAAAACATCAATTCCCCTTAATACTTAAAAAAGTAACAACAAGCCGTTCCTTGCCTGCATGGCTTTGTGGTTTAATTAAAATAAAAAAATAATCCGCCGTAATATTTTATTTTGCACACCCACCTTCATAATTTTATGCACAAACCAGGTGTATCGCCAGCAAAGCGTAGTACTACTCGCCAACAGATAATGTTATTGTGATAAGTTTATTACTAACAGACGATTTACAAGTTTATGTCGGATAATGATAGCGGTACTAACGTTGTATCATACCGGTAATTATATGGTACGATTACCAAATCAGAAAAATGCACGGAAATCTCTTGAAATTAATGAATATTCTTTATAGGGTGTATTGGAATTTATTTTTAAGGAACTTATGCTGTAAAATGAAAAATAACTCAATCTATATCTATACTAATATATAAAACCCTTAAGTGACTCAATGATTAATCACGATCCTGCTCATACCACTCAACGTAAGAAGCTCAATTTTGGCATACTGGTTGATTCTAGGGTGTAGACGTTCGATAAGAAGGGATTTTTCGAAATTCCACTTTCAAGGGGGTGAAATCACCCCTCAAATATTACAATATTTTTTATTTAAAAAACGGTCAAGTTTCCGAAAAAAACCTTGTCTCACAATGTACCGTTTGTGTCGGGGAAGGGATCAAGTTTCATAGTTGTCGATTTTCGAAAGAAGTCAGTACATGTATATTATTTCGTATATTTTTCATTTTATTGATTTTATGGAAAGCAATGTTCAAAAAATGCTGTACCCTATGTTATAGGGCTTGTTTCTCTCTACAATTTCCTGTCTTACAATGTACCGTTTGTGTCCGGGAAGGGTTCATAGTTTCATAGTTGTCGATTTTCGAAAGAAATCAGTACATGTATATTATTTCGTATATTTTTCATTTTATTGATTTTATGGAAAGCAATGTTCAAAAAATGCTGTATCCTATGTTATAGGGCTTGTTTCTCTCTACAATTTCCTGTCTTACAATGTACCGTTTGTGTCCGGGAAGGGTTCATAGTTTCATAGTTGTCGATTTTCGAAAGAAATCAGTACATGTATATTATTTCGTATATTTTTCATTTTATTGGTTTTATGGAAAGCACTGTTCAAAAAATGCTGTATCCTATGTTATAGGGCGTGTTTCTCTCTACAGTTTCCTGTCTCACAATGTACCGTTTGTGTCCGGGAAGGGTTCATAGTTTCATAGTTGTCGATTTTCGAAAGAAATCAGTATATGTATATTATTTTGTATATTTTTCATTTTATTGATTTTATGGAAAGCACTGTTCATTAAAATGTTATATCCTATGTTATAGGGCTTGTTTCTCTCTACAATTTCCTGTCTCACAATGTACCGTTTGTGTCCGGGAAGTGTTCAAAGTTTCATAGTTGTCGATTTTCGAAAGAAATCAGTACATGTATATTATTTCGTAATTTTTTTATTTTATTGATTTTATGGAAAGCACTGTTCAAAAAATGTGCACTGTTTAAAAAGAAACTTTAGAGAAAGTAAAGAAAATTGAATTGCCCAATTTTATAATAATAGTTGTTAAAACGCTAGAAAGTATCTTATATAACAGCAGCATGTATTTCAAGCGCTTTCCGATCAAATTCTCGACTATTAATTTTTCGATTAAAAACACGACCTCCTTCAATCTGGCCATTACTGCTTCGAAAAATACGGATTTTTTCATCGAAAACGTAGCGTTTTTCCGGTCGAGCGGTTTCGAAGCCAAAGCAAGAAAATTTTCTTTCTCGAGCGTCGTTGTCCGGTAGTTCCTGGGTATACAGGCCTCGACCAATCGCGTCATAGTTCTTTTGGCCAGATCTAGCCGGTCCCACCTATAGGAATTTCTCACCTTTCGCCTACCTAGCCAGAGAGAGTAACAAAACGCCAACGGTAAGTCGCCACGTACGGGGACCGATCAAAAATCTAGTGTGACACCGGCTTTAAAGATCGACTTTGGCTGTATTCCGTTGCAAAACTAGGCGAACTAGACCGATAAAATACGGTAAAGAGCGGTTCCTGAAAAATATCGTAAAATACTGGAAACGTCAAATGTTGACGTTTTCTAAATTTCAATACTTCTGTTATAAAATTTATCTTTTATGCATTTTTAATTTAATAATCTCTGCTTTTACGTTTGCTTCTTCTTTTCAATGGTGTTTAATATCGTATAAAATTTTTATAGCTTACAAAACATTCACGATTACTTGTCTTGTTTTTCATGTTTTCTTTAAATGGTCCTAAAAAGTCATTCTATTTAGGTAATGAAATTTATTTATCTTTACTGCCTACCTCCATTGCTTTTGGATGTAAATACAAAATATTAATACATATTTTAGAAATTAAATGAGAATTTCACTCGAATTTCCAATATTTGCTTCATTTCTGTCACATAAATGACATTGATTGACAAACAAAACCAGAAAGCCAAAGAATATACCTAGCTAGAATGGACTCTGCCATACTGAAAAATGGTCCTACAGAAGTGGCGCCATCTATTGAGTAGGGCTTGTTTTAAATGGATCGAAGCGCGGGCTTTTTAAATGAGCGTATTTATTGAATTTTACTCTAAAATAATTAAATTTGATTATTAAACCTTATTTTTTAGACAAATTCAACAATACTAATAACAAGTATCGTTGTGATGTGTAAAAAATAAGATTTAACAGTATAATTTATACAATTATTAAATAAAATTAAAGCCAAACGTGAAATATTATTTATTATTTAAAGTTTTTATTTATAAGTCAAATATTTAAACATCGTTTATTATAATAAAACAAGACCAACGTAATACGCCCAAAGTTTTGTAAATGGAGTAAATATAAATAGGTACTTAAATGATGGCAAAAATAAAAGACTTACATTATATTTTTAGGGCCTCAAACAAAAGGAATTTCTAATTAAAACACATATAACAAATTATAGTTTGAAAAACGTTTTGATAATCATTTATTTGATAATATTATGATTGGCGCTATGACAACGACAATATATTTTGAGAATTTGACAATAATATGACAATGGCCGTTGGAAACTATGGAAACTGCAAAAAAATTCTGATTTAACGCCATCTGGCAATAACTAGTAGCAATTTCTGAACCTAAAAATTAATTGCACTACCACCTAGTGGCTAGGGCTGGAACTATTTTATTTGAGATTTCCGTGGAAACGGTGGAACCGCTTTTGCTATTTCATTTTCCCGCCCCTGCAGAAAGCCTTCTCGCGCTGGTTAGTTTGTAAACCACCAAAAATAACCAAATTTTTCAGGAACCCAATAGAAACGGAACATAAAACCATAACCAAGGTAAGCAAAGGAATACACCCTTTATTATTTACGGTAAAAACTGTAAAGCTTCATTCATATATCGCTAGAAATAATAAAATAATAAAAAATAATAAAAATAATAAAATAAATAATAAAATAAAAAAAAATAATATAAAGCTTTACTGCAGTACGGGTTATACATTTGGGTATTCCCAATACTGCCTCTAGACCAAGATATGTTTCAGACTATCCTTGCCTTGCTTGCCTGTTTGTCGGCTTTTTCGTTGCCTTGTGCAGCTAAAAATATTAAAGCGTGCTTAAAGATTTTCTATGTGTATTGTAGCAAGAGCCTTACAGCAAGACTAGACCATGCAGGACCAAGACCAAAAGAGTCTTGGTTATCACTATTGATGAGATTTCCTCAGTAAAGTAACCTCTTCTATTGTTTTCTCGCGCACTGTCGAATGGCAAAGATTTCTGCTTGGAATACAACTGGGTATTTACCCAAAATAAGGATAGCATCTGTCTTGCAGTTCGATATTAATGTTAGCGAGGGTTTATATAGTTCAGAATTAGATGATGTGACTGCATATTATGATGTTTGCTCGATGAGATATGATGATTTGACATGAATTATTGATATGAATTAAAGAACAATATCAGTCCAAGTCGATTGAGTACGAATGGGCCAAGAATATTCATTCTCTCTTGCATGATTGACTCAAGAGCATAGACAAACAAATAAAAAGAGACTGGCAAATTAAATGGCAAAGAGAGGGACAACGTTCCCGTAGCGCAACTCAGAACGCAAAATTTCGTTCTATTTATGTTGATCTGTGCATTGCGTCTATTAAGCCCACTATCTCATTCTAATATAACAAGAGAGAAAGAAGCAGCCATATAAAACGTAATTTCTAAATAGAAATTAGAACAATCGCCTTTCGTTTTCGTCATTATGACAACCAAGATGACAACATAATGACAATTCGTTATGTTTGTTAATTTTTCTTTTGGTGATTTACCTTTTTTTCTAAACTCTCCATTTTATTGACTTATGAATATGGATGGGTATTTATATTTTGTTACTTATAATTTTAGGTTATACTATTTGTTATTTTATTTGCTGCAGGAGCCAGTATCATCTTTTTTTATATGTATTGGTACCCCTCTCTCTGATAGATATGTTAAAGACACCCGGTAAAATAAAAGTAAGTAGTTATATTTATCATCTTATTAAGAAAAAAGAAGAAGTAGTAGTGTCAAAAATATTTCGAACCTCTCTTAACATAACAAATTAATACAATTAATATTTTTAATTTTTTGGGTAGGTAGTTTATAGCTAGTTTATAGTAACCAGAAACTTTATTAATATACCTACTTTACTTTTGTTTTAGGATTAAAACTGAACATGAAAAAAATTAAAAAACAAATTTTAAAAAGTTTTAACATTTTCAATGTTTTAAACTGACCAGTCCCCGTACAAACGAACAGCGCCACTCTCCGCTGCCGGACGCCAAGGGGGGCGACCAGCGGCGTCGCCGGCGGACGGGGGGCGTCCCCGCTAACGGGGGGGCGGCCTCCACGGGGCGGTCACTATTCCCGCGCTCACGCAGGACCGCCGCTAGATCAAACCGTCCGACGGCTTGCCGCGCGCCTCGCCGCCGCATTTAACATACACACACGTCTAGGCCGGCCATAAGCATAAGCCAAGCCATAGCTAATAATGTACCTTCACCGCAATACACTCGCGGATGGATAAGTTCGATAGTGTATAGAGTACTGTAAACACTTAAAAGTGCGCGACGCGTATCTTCGGGGTGATTGAAAAAAAAACCTGTATTAGTGCGGTGCGTGAAACGAAAAAAAAATTAAGTTTTGGTGTACATATAATGAAAAAAAAATCTTCAAAGTGGAGTAACAATAAAAAATACAATTATGAAAAACCAATTCAAAATTGACTGAAAAAAAATTGTTTGATAAGTTAAGAAGGATAATTTTCCGGGTGAGTCGGGAAAGCTCGGGAAAGTTTCGCGTTAAGGAAAGCGCGGGAAAACTTTTAGCGCGAAGGGGTGAGATTTTCGCAAGGCTCGCCGTTCTGTCGCGGAAAACTTGGATTGAATTATTGAAAGTGGACTGTAAAGGAGACCGTGGACTGGGAAACAAGAAGGTCTTGAATGTATGTAGGTAATTTTTTAGTATATTTTTAATATGAATTGTATTAATAGAGTGAAAACTTTGGATTTTAAGACAAAAAAATATAGAAAAAAATGCTTTCACACAATAGTAAAAGTAAATTACAAAATTATAGTTTTATAAGGATTCTGACTAATAAATTTTAGCACACGTAGTCTTTTACATTTTTAAAATTATATTAATCCTTACTACCAAGATTGGATGATAATATGATGAGAATAATATAGTACCATAAGATCGAAAAAAAAACGACGTCGGAGAGGGCTTGGAAATGGGGATCGCTGTCATTTTTTATGTAAAATTATATGGTGAATGTCGGCGATCGTGATTTTCAAGCCAACTAGACGTCGTTTTTTACCTTACTGTTTTGTTTGTATAACACAATTAACTGAAACACTCAATTTAAAGTATATACATCAGATTTTTTGAAGTAATCAAAACTCACTTAATTCTTAGTTTTTGGATAAATTCAAGTATGATCAGCTTGTAAATGATTTTACGTATGGAGTGATAATTAAAAAACGAGTGCAAATATAATATCATTGCTTTATCTATCAACAGATGCTTAATCTTCAAAATATATCAGCATAACACAGAACCCGTACTTGCAAAACTGTAAATATATAATTTTTTTGTTCTAAAAGAGACTTATTTTATACAGATTTCGATAATAAAAATCGTTTAATGTAAAAAACAATGTTTTAATGATAACAAATTATAATTGCAACCATAAAAATACTTAATATAGGTATACAGAAAATTTTACAAATTACTTTCTATGATGAGAATTATTTCATGTTAATTTTTTTAAATAATACGGGAAATAAAAATATATTAAGAATCAATATATGGATTTAAAACTTACATAGTTGTTACTAGTATTTTTTCCACTCCAAACTCCAAAAAAAATAAATTTTATTTAAGATATTGTTACCAGCACATAATATGAGAAATTGGACTTACACAGAGGTCGTAACTGCAGTTTTTTTTAAATATGAATTGTAAGATTCAAAAAAAAACATCGTCAGAGTGGCTTTTGAAATTACAATCAATCACAATTTCTAAATGGCATATTATGTTAATGTCATTTATCGAAAATTAACAAAAAATTGTTAAAAATGGTTTGCCATTTTAATATTACTATTTGACAAGTTTTATACCAATTTTTAATAAATGTCATATAGAATGTCATTTCACAGGTTACTCTGAGGTCGTATTTTCTTGATAGTATATTTTTCTCTTAGGAAAGAAAGAAACCTTAATGGACACCAAATTTTTTTATATAAATTGTGCGTCATGAGTTCAAGAATTATGAAGATATTTTTATAGACCTTCCAAAATTTTACTTTTTATATCTAACTAAATAAATATGAACCGTAACAAACAACAAATATCATTGTTTCTTATACGAGAAAAAAAATAAAATGTTGTTATTTGGGGCGAAAGTTTGAAACACCCTGTATAATAATTAAGAAAGTAAGGGATTTAACAACTCTATACTATCGTTGGGATGCATCCTTTCTTGATAGTTTTTTTTTGACTCATCTCTATAGCTTTATTTTTATTGGAGATTGCCTTGAAAAGGCATACTATTAATGGTTGTTCTATAATCTATACCATGTTCAATTAAAGTAAAGAGAACCCATACAGCTTCTGGCCTTAAAACCATCTATCTAGAGTAAGTATAAACAAACAATAATATGACATTTTCAATGACAGTGACATAACTCCAACTACAACAAATCGCTCCTCTAGAACAATAGTATATTAAACAACGAGTTTCCAAAACGACGTTTTGCACAGGAGTTCGACAGTTTGTTGGCTCGAGCCGCAGGCAAGAGCCACATGTCGAACGAGTGTGCAAAGAAGTTTTCGAACAAGTTTTTACGCTATTTTTTCTACGATTACAAATTAGCAGCAGACTCAGTCAATTTTTGTAAGTTTTGTGAAATAATTTGCGATGTAATGATGACAATTTTCTCACGGCTGCGTTGCGTTTGGCGTTTCAGCTAAACATTGGACGTTAAAAATGTTAAAATTGGCACATGTCGTGTGCAAAATGACACGTGTCGTGCGCCAAATCCTTAGCACACAGGAGTTTGCAAAACGCCAATTTCAGATCGAGTTTTCCGTGTGTCAAACTGCATTTTCTAGGCTAGTCGTAGAAAAAATATATTCAAGTTTAAAATACATGAAAATTTTAAAGTATCCAGTTTTTCGTACCAGTCAGTGTAGTACCAAGAAAACTCGTTTTACTGCTTGTATTAATCTCGAAATAAAAAACTCCAGCTAAAAATGAAATATAACAATGTTTTCTTCTTTTCAGAACAACTCAAAGACAAGCGTGTAAAAAATTCCTTGAATCCAAAAACGAAAAAAAACCTCGACAACTGTCAGCCACTCAACTCAAACAGCACGTGGCTTCGCCAAGATTTCTTCTTCTTCTCTACACACACAGATTTACAGATTTGCCCGCCGCAAGCATCATATTACAGATGACGCATCTCTAGTACTACCACTCGAGCTGCAAGTACCACTCGGACTTATTGATCTAAGAAATAGTCCGGTCGCGAGCCATATAATTGCCTTCCTCCGAACCGAGAACGTTTCTAGAAAACACCACTCGAACGACCGCGGTACTGCCGGCAATACAGGGTACTACAGAGGGTACTACAGATACCGCGAGAGCGAAAAAAATAGGTGAAGCGCCCAATTAAAAATAATTAGCCGAGAAATTTCTCTACTAGGCGAGAGAGACACTTGACAAAGTCGCGAGTGGTACCGCGAAGAAGATGGATGAGTCATGGGACCAGCATGTATCCCCCCTGATGATGGGAGGCGTTGATATGCACCAGCAAGCCTCCCATTTGGGGATGGCTGAAATGCACGGTGAAATTAGGGGGCACCACGATATGGGGATGGGACAGCATCCGGATCACTCGATGGAGAATTTAGGGGAGAGTGGAGCAGATGATATGAGAGGACATTTGGGACATCAAGATGGTGTGATGGGACAAGATTATTATGGACACCAGGTAAGGGAGATTTCTGAAAAAAAAATGTTTGTTTTGAGAGTTTTGTTGTTATATTTTTGTTATTTTTAGCAAGCTGTATATAATTATTCAACTTTAATTCGTAATTCTTGGAATACCCTGTATGATTTTTTAAAACATTTCAAAATATGTAAAAAACAAAATAAATTATGCGTGTCCAAGCGTTTTCCCGAAAGACTAACCGTTTTTAAATAACAAATATTTGTAATATTTGGGGGCGTTTTCACCCCCTTGGAATTGAAGATTCGAGAAACCCCTCCTTATCGAACCTCTACACCCCACAGTCAATCCGTTTGCCAAAAATCAGCTTTAAACGTCAAGCAGTTTAAGCAGAATCGTGATTACTCAATGGTCTCTGTATAAATTTTTAAAAAATCTAATAATAAAAAATATCCTAATATTTGAGGGGTGGTTTCACCCCCTTAGAATTCAAGTTTCGAAAAATCCTTTCTTATCGAACCTCTACACCCTAAAGTCAATCCGTTTTCCAAAAATCAGCCTTTTTACGTCAAGCGCTTTAAGCAGGATCGTGATTAATCAATGACCAGATTTTTCGAAACACCCTGTATACATTTTTAAAAAATCTTAAAATATGTAAAAAAAATAAAATAAAATATACGTGTTTAAGCGTTTTTTCGGAAACTTGACCGTTTTTTAAATAAAAGATATTGTAATATTTGAGCTGGAATTTCGAAAAATCCTTTCTTATCGAACCTCTATACCCTAGAATCAACCTGTATGCCAAAATTGAGCTTCTTACGTTGAGTGGTTTGAGCAGGATCGTGATTAATCAGTGAGTCAGTCACTTAAGGGTTTTATACAGGGTGTTTCAAAACAAATGCGAAAAACAAAAACTTCAGGGGGTGATTCCTTGTTCAAAATAAAGGGTAGTTTGCTTCATAAACGTTGGGTCAAAAGTCAACCATTAGGGAGATATCGCGGTACAAAGATGGCGGAAAAATTACCTACTATTAAAACTACCCCTATCATTCTTGTTAACGAAATTTAAAGAAAAATCTTATCAAACACATGCAAAAAAATTAATTTGGATAGTTTAGTTTGTTTAGAAACTTTTTTATCTCTTGTATTTTTTTTATAAAACTCACCGATTTGAAATTAAAAAATAAAATAAAACATAAAACATGCAATGTAAAGCAAGTCAGGACTAAAAATATTTTTAGATTAAGAATCTAGTGATAATAATGATAATAATAATAATCTAGATAATAACGTATTGCAGTAGGGTAATGTCAAATAAAACAATATTAGAAACATCCTAAAAAGTGACAGCGGCCGACTAGATTTTTTCCTAAAAAAATTACAGCTGCCCACTAGATTCTTTATCTAAAAATGTTTTTTGGCCTGACATGTAATGCTTTACATTTTATTTTTTAATTTCAAATCGGTGAGTTTTATCCAAAAAACACAAGAGATAAAAAAGTTTCTAAATAAACTAAACTATCAAAATTAATTTTTTTTGCATGTGTTTGATAAGATTTTTCTTTAAATTTCATTAACGAGAATGATAGGGGTAGTTTATTTCAACCCCTTCCACTCATTTTAAAAAAGTGAAAAAATTACCAGAAAGTGTGTTTTCATAACAGTAATGCTTCCGTAAAATTTCATTAGTCTATCTCTTTTCGTTTTCAAGATAAAAAATAAAAACATTATTTTTCCGCCATCTTTGTACCGCGATATCTCCCTAATGGTTGACTTTTGACCCAACGTTTATAAAGCAAACTACCCTTTATTTTGAACAAGGAATCACCCCCTGAAGTTTTTCGCATTTGTTTTGAAACACCCTGTATATTAGTAGGTAGGTATAGATATTCCTCCAAGTGAATTATTATTAGTCTATAATTACATTTATTACATAACCCTATATAAAATCATCTTCAAAGTCTTTTCCTATATCGTTCCATCAATAACAACCCGGAATTACACGGTCGATAATCGTCTAAACAATAAAATAAAATGCCGGGAGCATTAAAATAACGAGGAGCAATAAAACCTAAACGACTTACATACACTAGTATCCTCCTAAAAATCTTTAACACATTCTGAATATGTGTTTTACCACGTCCGAATTTATGTACGGAATCAATAAAATCTTATTTACGATCGGGACAGCTGCTCTTAACACACCTTTCTGGTTATTAAAGCAAATTAACTAGGAAATGTGCCTCAGTTTAGGTCAATTTGCATTTAATAATGTGCCTCTATAGTTTTTTGATCAGAACTGTTAAAATTGCCTTATATCTATCAAAAATAGTAGATAAAATAGTACTTTATCCGCAAGGGTAGATTAAATGATATTTTAACAGCGAGGATAGGTTAAAAACTTTATTTCTTCTCGCACCTTTTTTAATTGCTTCCATTTTTGAAAATTTTTGTATTCCTTTTCATAAGTTATTCGGGATTTAAATGGAAGTAGTCTGGATATGGCTTTTGTCGCCTCAGCCTGAATATCTGTCGATAATTTACTTATTTCGTTTTGAGCCATTTCTGGCTCTAATTCAATCAGCAATCGACACGAAAGAGAATTAAAAAATATTGACTCAAAACTGACAACTAAAGAGACAGCTTTATTTATTTGTCAAATTACATATAGAAACCAACGCCAAGCCAGCACAATATTTTTTCTACTCGTAATAAATTCCTTGAAATAATAATTTCTGAATATTTTTTAAAATGTAACTCGCTATGGAAAAAAATATTGTTTTATACACGACGATAAAATTACATTATCGTCTACCGAAATTAATTACAATATTTAATAATAAATAATTAGAAAAATTCAGTTAATTTGGAGTTCCTCTTCTTGTCTAATTAATAATATAAGCAACGCTGGACATAATTATTAACCAAAAAAACATCTAAATGAAAAATAAAGTCCTTTTTTTTAAATGCGTCTAGCATTGCGTGGCGTCTATCAAGCGCAGCTATCTGTATCAATAATTCCCCGTGTGGGGGGCATAAATCGGGGGTCCCCCGCGACGAGGTCACCCCAAGAACCCGCTTCATTCATAATTTCCTCCCGCGGCGTTGCCGTGTTGTTTTGTGCGTGTGTTTGTACGGGTATGTCACTTCGAAAGCTTTCCCTTGTTAGTCTTTCCTCGATCTGTGGCCATCGGGTCCGGCCAGTACGATGCGTTCCAGAATTTCCGAGCAGTACCATCAGAATTGGAAAATAATAATACCTAATATTAAAGAATTTCGAAAACAGTATAATGTTTTAGTAGGAGTAAAAATGACACTTTTTTTTTTGGCCTGACAGGCAAGGTTTACTCGCAATAATTTTAGTCACAAATAATTCCTTAAACAACTTCAAACGTTGCAAAAAATATAAAAAGATTTTAAATTATATATCGAGTAACTACTACTACTGCTATTACTCGCTGAGGAGTATTTGACGGTGGTTACGCAAGGCGTTTCCTTTCATGAGCTTTTCTGTGACTGAAAAGCCCGATACGTGATGTTATCTCTCTTCAACACTCCGGATATTCAAAAATTTTGTTGCTTTGTTCCCAAGTAGCAAAATTACGTTGTTCAACGTAATCACAACGTCGCCAAGAGCAGCCCAACGTTGCCGGACAACGTCGAAGCGACGTCTAAGCGACCCATATTGGCACCAAAATGGTGGTTTTTAGGGTCGCTACAACGTTGGCGACGTTGTTTGAGGCGACGTAGTACGTCGTGTGCTAAAAGTTGTTTTTCGTGCCGATTCGCGATATTTTGAGGTTAGAGTTAAAAATATTCGTCGTCAAATATTACTATATTCAACCATGGGGAAACCAAAACATTGATATTGCAATTAACTTGAATTAGAAATAGAATATCTTATGCTCCATTAAGAAATAACTAGGTGAATTTAACTTCGACAAATCTGCAAATTTTTGAGATGTCGGCAATCGAAATTCATCAACGAAGATTAGTTTACTGTTGAAAGTGACCATGATACTTCGAAATATGGCAAAACCCCTTTTTCATTTCCTAGTTTTAATTTTAAAATTATAGCTCACTTGGTTAACCTAACTTTTTTTTTTAATTTTGAGACAAATATGCGAAATCTATCAGGAAAATTAGCTTACAATCTTAATAGATACAGTTTTTTAACGAAATTCGCAGTATTTTGTGGTTTCTGATATATATTCCCAAGTAGCAAAATTACGTTGTTCAACTGATTCTGCATGTGTATCCACTTTCCACTGATTCTGCATGCGTTTCCCCTTTAAGTTTTCATGAAAAATATCCTTGTTCGTTTTAAGTTGTTCTTACCATCTACTAGCTCACCGTAAAGAATTTTCTTGCATCCTGTATACGTGACCAGCCCATCTTAAGCGGGATTTTGTAATCGTGACTTCAACGCTCCCGCAGCTAGATTTTTCAAGGACCGATACGTTTGAGACATACATGGTGGAACTATTTTGTATTCTTAACAGTTGTCCAAGATGTCTCTGGTGCAACTTTTTTAATGCGTCCACGTGCTAGCGGTAAGGCACCCAGTAAAAAGTAAAACAGTCATGAACAGTGAAATAATTCCAATAATTGCCAACAATAACGTCATTTCCACCACTTTAACTGCTGATTTAAATAAAGTCTGTCGTCTGAAGAATGTGACGGTTCAAGACAGTCATAAAGAACGACCAAAGTACCGCTAAAACGTTCTAAATTAATTAGCACTGACGGTGGCGAGAAAATAACTGGCAACGCTAAATACGAGGCTATTTCCCAGTAATAAACCACGGAAAATCGCGATTTTTCACTCGCGTGACGCGCATTTTCCTGGACCGTGAAACGACCAGACCTTGTACGACTATTAAAAATAGTTAAAACATGTTATAAAAGCGTAAGTACAGAGTAAACAAGTATTTGAATATTAAAAAAAGGATTTGTGGTACATTAAAGTACATATATCAACGAACATCGTTCAAAACACAAAATACACTTAGATCAATTTTATCGCATACTAAACCAATGAA